TGGTTTTAACCTAAAATAAGGCAAACTGAGCAAAATTGAGCAAAGAGGACAAACTTAAAACCCAAATACACTTCCTTGCAGACAACTATTCAATTCAATTGCCAGTAAGATATTGAATATTCTTTTTTGAATCACCCTAATTCGATGTACAGTGTACCGTATATACTGCCTAGGAAGAAGTTCAAATCATAAATATGATAGAGAGGGAAATATCTAATAGCTCAGAATGGCCTTTTCAAGTAGCCAATAAGCTCTAAAAGACTGCAAAATATTAAATCTGGTGAAGCATGAGCTATATGCTCCAGAATGAGCCCATCTCCCTGTCATAGTCCCCCTCCTTGCTCCAGGACAACCTGGAACTGGGTCTTAAGGAGCTAGCACACAGGGCTACTCTCTGGATGCCAGATGATGGCAGAGCCACTTCCCTGCAGACAGTAGTCAGCAAGGTGAAGGCTGCTGGCCATAGTCATGACAGCTGAGCTGATCTGTGATTTCTTCCTCTCCTGCCAATGTCAGGTCCAGGTTTGTCGATATGTTTGCGTTGATGTACAAGATACTGGAGAGAGGCCATCTGCCCTGTGCGTCAGATTCCAGACTCCACATGGTTATGGCAGGGTTTGAGAGAAGTATCCACAGAGTGAGGGGCAGGTTAGAATAAAGAGGTGTTAATGGTGTGAATTGGGAAGGTAAAGGAAACTGTCGGGAACTCAGTGGAAAAAGAGGGTTGAAGAAAATTAAAGGGGGAATCAGGGGAAATACAGAAAAACAAGGGAAAAAGACAACCATCTCTGTTTGCTTAAAGGTCAAAGAGTAAAAATAATATAGAAAGGCTCTTTCACCTTGCCAGGTTCAACAGCGTGCTGCATTTTGGCTTTTTTATTTAAAACTTTATTTAAGTTTACACCATTGGGTTCTGGGCTCTTCTTCCAGCTGACAGGCTCTGTCTTCCAATCATGTCCACCCCCAGCCCCTGGAAGCACCCATTTTTTTCTCCAGACCCCACACTTCTCCAAACCCCACCCCCTGACCCAAGTTCAGTTTCCACTTATGGATTACATCTCTCTCTTGATTGTCTAGCACTCATTTTCTAAGATCAATCTCTTTACTCTTTTTCACTTACTAGCCTAAATCCATATTACTCTACAGTTTTAAGAAAGACTCATGACAACTAGATCATGCTATTCAGTAACTCAAGTTTTACTGTCCAAATGTTTGTGTGTGTATAGATATATAATATCTGTACATAATATATATATATATACACACATATATGTATATTGTGTATGTATGCGTGTGTATATAAATAAATAAAACTGGCATTTGCAAGACCTTTAGAATCTATCAGATTGCACGTTTCTTTAGCCAAACAATAAATACTCTTTGATGAGTCATGACACTTCACTTCCATGTGTCCACTTTAAGAAACAGTTACAAAGTCAGATGGTTCAAAATAAACAAATAAACAAGCCAACAAATAAAACCAGACTAGAGTAGGCATGCAGGCATTTCTTTTCTAGGCTTTGAGGCAAATTCCAGGCGCTGTCTTCTCTTTTATCAATTTTATTTTCTCCTCTGCTTTTGGAAATTCCATTCATTCTTTAAGTCTGATCCACATGATTTTACAGAGTTGGGAAGGGGATGAAAGTGGGTGGGACAGAAAGGAGAGTGGTGGGAGGGAGAAACCTAGTATTTATCAAGTTACCTGAGAGTAAAGACCTTGCCTGTCTTTCTCACCTCTAAATACCTTGGTACCCAGAACAAGGTCTAGTGAGTGAGAAGATGCTCAATAAACACATTTTGAATAAATGAAATTACTGACTCTTTACTGTGTGCTGAGGGCCATGCTGGATGGTTTTAAAAACAGTACTGAATAATTGGTGAATAAAAAGTAACTCAGTATAACAATGTGCCCTCCTTTGTGTAATAAGAGAATGCATTCCCTGAGGTGGTACCTTCAGAGCTTGGGCTCATGCTGAGGCTGTGATCCCAACATCTCAGTGGGTGAAACCATGGTAGATAATAACCTAAGGCAGTGCCAGCAAACTATCACTCATGCACCAAGTCTGGTCTGCAGATTGTACAGCCCAGGAGCTAAGAATGGTTTTTACATGTTTAAAAGGATTATAAAACAAAACGAAAAATAGACAGTAGAGATCGAATATGGCCTACAAAGCAAAAATATTTACTATCTAGCCCTTTACAGTAAACGTTTGCTGACCCTTGTTCTAAGGAGACACTAAGAATGTGCTTCTGAAGTTAGTTTTAATCTAAAGTGTGTTTGGCTTGAACTTGTGTTCAAACATGGCGAGACTGCAGGCCTGGGCTCTGTGAGCACTCTGGAGTCACACACACAAGCTCGACGTTCTTTGTCCAAGCTTAGAGCAGCTCCATGGCACCAATATGTAGAGTCTGCACCTTTGTTAACTCTTGCTTGTTCATGTGACTCTTCTGTAGGTGTTTTTCTACATGATTTTCTGGTTAGTTTTGCAGTGCAACAAAGTCTTCTCCTAGAAAATCTATGGGTGGCAAAATCATAAAGGTGTTTCATCAACCCACTTAGTGTAATGATTAGAGAGCTTTGTTATGGAGCTTTGAATTCATCTGGCTCTAGCTGAAGTACTCAAGATGTGACCTCTCTTCCGTCTTTTATTAACTCTGTGTAATTTTTGGTTGTTTTTAATTCATTGATGATTTTCTGGTCCATTCTTCCTCTCCTCTTCTTCTGTGATTCCAATTATACTTATTTAAAATGGTTGATATTTTCCCACAGGTAAATTATCAACAAACTTTTCTTTCCATTTTCCAGATTGGATAATTTCTATTGTTAGACCCATCAAGTGATTTTTAAAAAATTTCAGATACTGTATTTTCTAGTCCTAAAATTTGGTTTTTAGTGTCTCCTTTTTGCTGCTAAGATTTCATATGTGTTCATTGATTATGATCATATTTTTCCTTATGTCTTTGAGCATAGTTACAATAGCTGCTTTGAAATTCTTGTCTGCTAATACCAATATATATGTCATTTTGGAGTCAGTTTCCATTAATTGCCTTCTCTCATGACTATGGGTCACATTTTTCTGTTTCTTTGTATGCCTAGTAATTTTGAATTGTATCCTGAACATTGTACATGTTATGTTAATCTATAGCAGTGCTGTTCAATAGAAATAAAACATGAGTCACATATGTAATTTTAATTTTCTACTATCCATATTTAAAAAGTAAAAGAAACAGGTGACTTTAACATATTAATAAATTTTAATAATATATTGTATTTGACCCAATGTATTCAAAATATAATTATTTCAACATGTAATCAATATTAAAAATTATTAAGATATTTTACAATATCTTTCTATACTAAATCTTTGAAGTCTGGTATGTATTTTACATTTATAACACATCTTGATTTGGACTAGCTAGTGGCTACCATATTGATCAGCACAGCTCTAGAGTATCATTCTAGGAGAATACTGAGGTTTGGTCCAATACGAGCTACTCCATCATTATGGGAAACAGAATCATTGACTGCCAGTTTTTAAACTTTATTCCTTGGTGTTTCACAGAGGTCCTGTGGGCCTACTGTGAAATGAGGGGAAGGCCGAGTACACTGGGCTACTCTTCCCCATTATATATACATCTCAATTCAATCAGAGCAACTCTGATTTCATATATTTCATTTCTGTGCATAACTTAAAAATATTTTGATACTAAAACAATATGAAAACATAAATGACTGTAAAATATGATTCTTGAATGGGTCCCTAGGATCTTTCTTGCTCAATCATGCCCTTGAACTCATGCTGACCTCTCCTCTTCTAGAGTCACTTATTCTCCTTTCTAATCATATCACAAGAGCCAGATGTCTCTGCTTTCAGGAAAAGCGACTGTGGTTTGTCTGATATTTAAGTCTTCACACTTGCAAGTCCTTCCTTCTTTGGCCCCACATGTGTGTGAATGATTGATTGATGGATAGATTGATCAATCAACTGATAGGTTTGCTGGATGGCTGTTTATACCCAGCATGCTCAGGACTTGCAGAAGTGAGCTGTTCCTCATGGCCATCAGCATTAGGGTAGGATTTCATTCTTAATTTCAAAAGGACCACATAAAACCAATGAAACAAGTCTCACCTCACTTTCCTTCCTGTCTTCCCGCTTTCGTTCATACACATTTTACCAGTTTGACAAAGAAAAGAGGGTCAGCACGAAAACTAAATGCTTTGTGAAACCTTTTCACCAGGCAAGTGGTATGGATCAAGCTTAAGAAACCCAAAAAACTGCCAGGTTAAAAGTCCAGCCTCCTTACAAAAGCTAAACGTGCCTAACCTGATGCACAGAACCACAAAACAAAATCCATGCACCTCAACCCAGGGCAGAATGGGAGGCCTGTGGTGATGTTACATAATATAACAGAGTCAGATGCAAAGACCCACTAAAGTGGAAATAAGGAGGCTTAACTGATGAACACATTTCACACAATTCTTCTCAGCTGACAACCCAAGAGAATTCACTTCAGAGCACACAAGTACATGGCCATGAAAGCTAGGGTTGGAAACAGAAGTTCTGATGGATCCCAAACAATAAATAACTTACTGACATTAATTTCAGCCACTGAAATAGACCAATCACAAACACTAACTTATGTTCACCTATTCACAGGTGCTCATACTATTGACACTGATTTCCTTTTTCTCCAAGACACGTTAATTTGCAGGAGGAGTTGACATGTACCAGTTGAAAGTGTGCAGGATGGCTACTTCTTTTTTCACGAGATGGTCTTAATGGCCTCCTATGAGATGCCTTCCAGTGAGCACTGTACACTTCTATCAAAGTTCTGGTTTAGTAGCCAGAAATTCAGTATTTTGAGCAAGCAGAAATCACTCAGCAACAACAATGGAACACAGACCAAGACTGTGGTATTAACTGTGCCTCACCATCCCCCATTCATGGGCGTTGCTGTTTTACCCTGGAGGGTCCAAGCTTGAGAACACAGCTCCTTACCGTGACTGGCATGGGTGCAAGTTGCATCTTCGGATCTGGGGCTCCGGACGGCTGGCTTGAGGGCAGTCACTGTCGTTCACCAGAGTCGTGGTCTTGTTAACAATCCGTGTGCAGGACACGATGGTTCTGCGTTCCCCTGGAAACCAAACCACACAGAACTGAGAGGTCGTGGTACACACACCTGGTAAGGTCATTCATTCACCTTATGGAGGAGTGTTCAGGTGCATCTTTTGATCAGTTTGTCATTTAAAGTGACTATTGTAATGTCTTGTTGTTTGTCAGAGAGGGAGAACCATAATCTTTGGGATGAGGGTGTGTAAGACATGGCAGGGGCAGCATGGGGCAGGAGAAAGATTCTAGAACAGGATCAGAAAGAAGCAACACTTCAGATCAGCCATGTCCTTGGAAAGCTTAGGGTTCATTGAGGTCAAAGTTGTGATTTGGGTCTTTAATTTCCAACAGAGATTGCCAATCTCTGTATCTGTTCATTTGATGTTTAAAGTCTATGGAGATCTGGTCTTGATTAAACAACTGTATATCAGCCCTCACCAGAGATGATGGCTACTTATTACAGAACTCCTACTTGCTGGAGAGAAGTGAGAAACAGGAAGGCTAGTCTGAAAGACACAGACCCAACCTGAGAATTTGTCTCTCCATCAACTGCCGCTCGTGCCTAAGCCTCACGTGCTCTTGGGAAGCTTCACTAACCGGTCACCCCAGCTGGATGTAGTCATTCTTTTGGGTGTTCCCAAAGCACCCTGCACACTAGCTGGCCAGCACTTTGTTAGGACTGGGGGTGAATGATTGGGAGCTAGAAGGGCAGCCTTTGGAGCCAGGCTGTCTGGGTTCAGACTTGGCTTACTCACTAGCACAGTGAGCATAGGATTCCTACTTAGCCCTCACATTTCTGTGCCTTGGTTTCCTCCACTGGATTCCTTTACTGGACTCACTTAACTTCCCTATGCCTTAGGGTGCTTTAGGGATGGTTAAAATGAATTGATATATATAAAATGCTTAGAACAGAACCTGGCAGGGGTTAACACTTCATGTTAGCTATATTCCTATTGTTATTATTTGGGAAGTGTCATAATAAAAGATTAACAGGAAGTCAAGCACAACTATATGGATCCCACACTCCTAAATCAATCTGTCTCCTGGGGAATTTGTCATGGAGAAATGACTCAAAATTATGGAGCCCTCAACTCCGTGCATAGAAAGCACGGAGCTGCCTCAAGCCAGATTTCTGTTTGGACTGCAGGCAGGTCAGGGAGCTGGAAGTCAGGGAGCCATAAAAGGATGCCAGTAGCGACAGCAGCAGAACAGTACCCCCTTGCCCCCCAGCCAACGGAGCCTGCTAACTCTTCCATTTGGGCCACGCTTACTTTGTAGCAAGCTGCCCCAGTGGAAAAGTTCGGTGCCATCAGCTCTGCAGGACTGAGTGTCGGTGAGCCCATGCCCAGGTCCCACCTGCCAGCCCACCCTCTGGGTTGGCATTCCAGAATCCAGGTCAACCTTCTGTTCTAACTCTGTGTCCATCAAAATTCACCCATCCTGCATCCATCCCCCATCACCCCGCTGTGTGTCCCATCAGGGTGATAGAGTATGCTGTACTAAGGGGGCTGCTGGCTAAGAGTTCAGAATGCTTCCAACAGCTCCTCCTAAACAACACAGTAATGAATACGATGCCTTTTGTTCAGATTGATTTTTGCAGTATTTGAGTCTCCTCCCTGCAGTGGGCATGAGGGCTGATCAGTATAGAGAGAGTAAATCATCTGCTAATATATGGAGGCAAATCATGAAGCCAGGATCCAGGCTCTGAATGTTTCACTGGAGTTGGAGGAATTTTTCTTTCCATTGTATTACTGTTGGTTCCATCGATTTCCCTGTATTTCCATTGGTCACTGGGGCAAAAAGGAAAGGGTATTTGAGGGTCAGAAACATCTTCCAGTGCCCCTCTACCAAACAGCAACAGATGGAAGTTTGCTCTGTTCATTTACAGGGTCACCTGTCACACTTGTGACACAACCATTCATCAGCCAAACCTCCACTCGGATCAGCATCCAAGGGCCCCATGCCATAGGCAAAGCTGGGCACAACTCCAGCATGGAGGAGTTTGGAAGACTCTGCCCAAGTGTTTTGCAGAGAGATTTGCAGTGGGATGTGGTTACATTCCATGGAAATACAGGTTATGTGGCCAGCCTTTCCAAGGCTCTCTGCACCCGCCACGGAGCGCCCTGAATTCACTTCTGTGTGACAAAAACCCACACCCCATGAGCCCGTGACCCTACTGCTCACCTCCTCCGCACTGCACACTGCAACCTTCCCAGCTGCTGTGGGTCCAGATGAACAAGGAGTCCTGCGGTTTTTCTGGTTCACTCTGATTTTCAGCAGTGTAGTTTACGGGAATGGTGTATTCGTAATGAATTCCATAATTTTGGTCATGAAATAACAACACCTGGATCAGCAGCAAAATAAAAGACCATTTTGAAATAAAGCGAAAGCTCCCAGGATTGCTGAACTTGCAAGCCAAGCCGTGCTGTGGCTGTCTCCCTACCAGGGGTAACCTGTTCTTTTCAGGGTTTCAAAACAGGTTCATTCCAGGTGCACACCTTTATTTCAGTCTTGGGTTCCCTAGATACTCAAATTCAGGGCAGGAGCCTATGCAAACCATCGGCAGGGAGTTCTACTCTTTTCCACTGGAGAGAGGACTGGTTTAGAAGAGGAATTTGGGGATTAGCAAATCTGTGGGCTCTAACTGCACTTTACATGGAGAGCTGCTCCAGGCAGAGCAAAGTACCCGTTCCCACAGTCACCCACGAAGCTGCCCTTACAGGGAGAAAGACACAAATATACTGCTTTTCCTAAATACGCATCTGAACAAGTAGGGTTACTCTACTTTGAAAATGAACACCACTCTTCACACCCTGAGCACCAGTCACTGCTATGTGTAAGGCAGGCTCAAGGGTAGACACAGCCCCCTCCAGGGGAATCTTGGGGATGCCTGTCAAGGATGTGGGAGCCTTCCTGCTGCCATGGGAGCTAGGATGACGATGCCCACGGGGTGGCACAGCCTGGCACAGGGCTTAAAGCTGGGAGTGAGGGGAGGGGAGCCATCATCGTGCAGCTTGGGGACCCCTGGTTCTGAAATCCTGGTAAGTGGGAACTGGAAGGGCCTGCTCTTTGTTTGGTAATGCATGTTTCTAGCCCTGTAGAAAGAGAGGTGCTCTACTGGCTTTATTTCTCTACGTGTACATAATGGTGCAAAAGAAGCACTCTTGTGGGATCTTCAAGTGGCCTGGCTGTGGGTGGTACGTCCTCAGGATACGCTTGGAACCAGGGGGCAGTCCTGGGTCTAAGCAGCTAGCAACTTCACTTCCAGCCCGGGGTCTGGGAGAGCCAGCCCACAGGAACTGGAGGCAGAGGGTGCTCCACCTGACCTGGGGAGGCCAGGTGGACGGTGTGCTGGACAACAGGAGCCGTCCTCCCTCCCAAGCATCTCCCAGCCCTCCAAGGGCTGCAGTTGCAGGCAGGGTGGGGTGGGGTGCTAAAAGCAGCCCAAACTGAATAAACATCCACTTCTCCAAGAAAGAGACTTACAGTAATGCATTTGGAAAAATGCCTCCAGTTTAAAAAAAAAAAAAAAAAGGCTTTAAAAGAGATCTTTATTATCTCAGTATGGGAATAAGACTGGTGAATTGAGAATGCATATGAAACCAATTTCATGCAATTTTGTAGCCACGTATAATTTGTATGCGTGTGCATAATTGCTTTCAAATGCAGGTCCCCGTGGCTCTAAGGGCGCTCCTGAACCTGCAAGCAATGCACACACCTCAGTTTGGGGACAATGGATTTTCCTTCAGAGGCAGATGGGCTCCTCTCATTTCTAGGTTTAAAAACTGGTAGTAACAATTATATTTCAAGAGAGAAAAGTGATTAATGTTCAAGAGGGCAGGAACTTCAGCTGTGGTAGTTATTGCTTTCCCAGAGTTTTGTTTATTATGGTCTGAATGAATCCAGGCTGTGCATTTGCTTTAATGGGCTGACGATTCACTCACAGTTTATGAAAGCTTTTGGGAAAGAAAGGAAATAGGCCTATTTTGTTGTTTGCTAGAAAAGCAAATTCACATGCTAAAGGTGATGCTGCTATCTTGGGTTTTATCTTATCTTTTACTTCCTCTTTTAGTCCCTCTGAATGACTGCTTTTAACTCAGGACAGGAGGATTTGTTCCAATGACTTAGATTAGGAAACAATCTAATCACAGAGAAATAACTTAGGTACCGGTTCTTAGGTCCCAGAAATCAACTTGCAAGTATATACCTGTAGTAGATTTAGTGTGTGGAGTGTTGCACTGATAGATTTCTGGACAGTTTATGTCATCTGTGGAAACTGGCTCCCCTTACTCTTATCAGAAATTGTAACAGGGTTAGGGCCATTGTGGGTGACATCTCTGCTCACATGTAGAGCTGGTCTCCTCAGGAGAGTCCCTGGGAAGTGGCCTGGGAATCTCTTGGGTGTCGCCTAATCTTGAACAGCTGCAGGTTGCCAGTGACCACAAATTAATGGGGAGATAAGAACTTCCAAGTAGAGACTTTGGCAGGCATAGAGGACAAAATGTGCTTTGATTGCAGACACACAAGCTGTCACAACTCCCATTCTTTGGAAGGAGACATGGATTCAATAATTACAAGCTATCAAAAGTTAGTCACGAGAAGTCCTGAACCCTGAGAAGGCAACGGTGGCATTTCTGTCCCTGGAGATCTTTCATATTCTTAAAAGGCAGCATAACCGGATGTTTCAGTGGTTTGCGTGGGGTCCTCCCTGAGACAACACACAAGACCAGAGTGCCCTGATCTGGCTTGATTGCACGATTTCTCGAGACCACCTGGGGAGTCAATAGGCCAGTAGAATCTGGTTCTCCCTCGATTCCTGAATCCTTGTTGCAAGCAGAGTCTGGAAAACCTGAGTGGTATTGGTTTGGAAACAGTGTCAACAGTTCATTTCCAAAAGGTAGTTTCCGATGTGGATATACAAACTGTGGGGCAAATCTAAGCCATCTGATATTAAAACATAGACTGTGGGGCTTCCCTGGTGGTGCAGTGGTTGGGGGCCGCCTGCTGGGGCACGGGTTCATGCCCCGGTCCAGGAGGATCCCACGTGCCACGGAGTGGCTGGGCCCATGGGCCATGGCCGCTGGGCCTGTGCATCTGGAGCCTGTGCTCCGCAACGGGAGAGGCCACAGTGGTGAGAGGCCCGCGTACTGCCAAAAAAAAAAAAAAAAAAAAAAGACATAGACTGTGAGTGGGGCTGTCTGCTTAATAATGTCAAGTCTCCCTGGCAGCCACATGGCTAAGCACTTCCTTCCTGGAGGTGGTTCCTTTTGGAAAAGATGGGAGTTCTGCCAGTAAAGAGCTAGGGCAAAATTTTGAGAGGGCAGAATTTTGAAGCATGTGGCAAAGGGATTAGATAAGAAAAGACCAAGAGAGAGACTTGAGCAGCAGGTGGCCAGGTAAACCACCAGGAACCAGGTGTACCTCCTGCCCACAGGGGCTCAGGGAACAAGTCAACTGGTAGACCTCTTGGAGCCGGCAGTCTCAAGACGAATGCAAAAGCACGGCAAATTACCATCAAATGCAGAGGCATTTTGGTTGGTCCCTTGGCGGAAATTTTCTCCCACAGGCCCCTTCTAACATAGCGGACGGTCGTGCCTGCAATCTGGAACTCTCCGGGGAGCTCTATCTTCCAGTCACTGTTGATGGATCTCTTGCTGGAGTCTTTGAGAGCTAGAAAGAAGATGGAACACCATGGAATCGGGGGAGTCAGTCTGTCTTTGAAGGGAGTCAGGGTGTCCTGAGCGGTGGGTTGGAGGTCTCACTCTCTACCTCCACAGGGGAGAAGAGGGAGGCCTGCAGTGAGAGAAAGGGAGCTTTTCTTTGAGAACAGAAGCCTGACTCACAGGGAGAGAAGAGCTCCTGACCCCAGGACCCTCCGAGAGAGAGCTGTCGTGACTCCTGCACCTCTGAGCATGGGCCGCTGTCTCAGAATCAGCTCACTTGGTGGGGGGTGCGGGAAGGAGCGCCAGAGAATGGAGACAGCCACAGCCCAATCACATTTCACGAGATTTACAGAGTAGGGGGTTTTCCGCCGGATGAACAGATCCTATTTTATCGTGTCCAAGGCTACAAAACAGGATTTGTAGCTTTAGCAAAATTCATCCTTCATTTTACTCTTACCCACCTGGGGCTTTTTAGAGGGCAGCCTAACTCCAATGCCCCTCAAGGATATGATAGCCCTAGATTAGTAAAGCAGATGCTCCTTCAAGAAACAAGTGTCATTCTACCAAACACGAGAGTCTGGAAGCCTGAGCTGCCTACAGGCGTGGCAGTAACAGTGAGCTGATGTCTTGTGGGTGGTGGGAGCCCTCCCACCCTCAGCTTTGTGGCCTTTGCTAGGTTCACATGTTGCTCTCTCACACTCCGTACAAAGTGTGTTGGAATCGACATCTTGCTGATTGGCCATAGCAAAGATTTGGTTTTCCACACAAGCTATTATTATCTGAGTGCTCACCAGTGACTTTCTTTGTTGTTTCCTCACTTAGGTTTTAAAGTCATGTGGTTCTCATGAGGGAGCATTCTGCAGTGAAATTCTGTTTTTTTTGGTGCTGTTTTGTTATTTAGGAAAGAAAGAAATAACTAGAACCTACTCTGGCATTTTGGAGGAGGTGGCAAATGAAAATGGGTGACAGTAAGTCTTTATGTCACTCAAAAAATAAAACTTTCCGTGCACCCCAAGTCCAATGCCATGCTCTCTGCCAGTGCAGCTAGAGTCCCCTGAGAACCAGATGCTCTCAATCACCTTGGGACCCTGCTCAACCCACAATCAGCAAAATCAGATTCTATCCCATTCCCTACTCTCTGCTTATGAGGCCAGAAATATTAATAAAATGCCCACATTTAATACCAATTTTGGATAATGAGACTTGAAACCCAAAAGTGGTTTCGGTTAACCCTGAGTCCACGAGCCCCTGGCTGGGTTAGGACCTGGTGAGTCCAGTCCTGGTCAGGCCACAAGCAGCTGGGGGATGCCGGCCTCCGCTTCCTCGTCTGCAGGACACAATGGTCCCAGCAGGCTCTCCTGGCCAGTAAGGGGGAGGTGCATGCTCAGAACTCTGTGCTTACAGGAACCGCCAAGAGAAACCGAGGGACCTGGGAAGGGCTGCTTTCCAGCAGGATGGCTTCCAGGAGGGGGTTCATACTCAGGGTGGCTGCCTAGTGAGTGGCTGGGGATTACAGGACTCCAGGGAAGGCTTCGAAAAGAGAAAGCTCTACCACTTAGAATCGAATGCTTCCCTTCAAGAAATTCTACCTACTATCGAGATTTCCTGGCTACTGGAAGGAAGCGAGACTGTTGGGATACTCACAATTTCTGCGCCTTTTTCTCTTCCTCAGCCACTGCCTGCAAGTCCCCATTTAAGGGGCACATTCTCTGGTTTAGCTCCTCCATATGCTTTTACCCATTTAACCTTCCCAACAACTCTCTAAGGTAAAGGATTATTTTCCTCTTTTCACAGATGTGGAAATGGGGGCACAGAGAGGTTAAGTAACCTGCCTAAAGTCACACAGCTATTACGTTGTCATATGGAGACCTGAACCTAAACACACCAAGTCCCACATCTTTAGGTTATAGCATCAGTCTAGAGTTTTATGACAGACACTGAAATGTGCAAATGTCATATTCTCAAAGAGAACAAATTCCAAGCTCAAATTGCTGTGGGGGGGGTCTCACGTTCTACATACCTTCATAAAAATAACTAAACTTACAGTTTTCCACAGCTTCCAGTGAACTAATAACCTAAAAATACGTTTGGTCATGTTAGCTACTCGGGTATCTAGGCTAAGGCTGTATGGGTGTTCATTGTTCTTTCAGTTTCTCTGAAGGTTTGGAAAATTGTTTCTTGCACATGCATATGTAAATCTGTTTTTCAGAATCAGTACAGGCTGGTGGGAAGTAGCAGACAGACAAATGAGGGAACAGACACCTTTAAGAAAAGCCTCAGTAGGGGCTTCCCTGGCGGCGCAGTGGTTAAGAATCCGCCTGCCAATGCAGGGGACACGGGTTCAAGCCCTGGTCCGGGAAGATCCCACATGCCATGGAGCAACTAAGCCCGTGCGCCACAACTACTAAGCCTGCGCTTTAGAGCCTGCGAGCCACAACTACTGAAGCCCGTGCACCTAGAGCCCATGCTCTGCAACAAGAGAAGCCACGACAACAAGAAGCCCGCACACCACAACGAAGAGTAGCCCCTGCTCACCGCAACTAGAGAAAGCCTGCGTGCAGCAACCAAGACCCAACACAGCCAAAAATAACTAAATTAAATAAAAAAAAGAAAAGCCTCAGTAAAAACAAGTCAGGGAAACACAGGGAGCAGACACATCCCTACACCAACCCCTCACCTTTATCTGAGGGCCTTGTAGCTGGTGATGGAGGCACAACTCCTGCCCTTGGGAGCTCAATGTTTGAAAGGGAGACTGGTGAGAAGACAGATAAACACGATACATGTCCAGAAGCTCAGTGACAGAGGCCAGTCTGGGGCCCGTGCACAGTCATGTGGGCAGAGATTGGGGCAGGTGGGGAAGGCCTTCTGAAAGAGGAGCCCTGAGCTGAGACTGAAAGAAAAGCAGGGAGAAGAGGTGGCCTGGAGTGTGTGGGCAGCTTGGGCTGTTGCTCCTTGCCTCCTTGTTAAGCTCAGTTTCTGTGCAGGGTGGTGGAGGGAGAAAGGTGCCCTGCCCCGTGTGGAGAAGCAAGTGGAAGGTGAAGGAATACTGGAAGTCTGATTGGGAAGAGGAGGTGACAGAGAGGGGCTATGGCGGTGGAGAAGGCAAGAGAAGGCTCACTGTCGTTGTCATTGGGGTGGGGACACGAGCATGTTGAGAACCCTTGAAACTGAGAATCAGAGAGATGAGCAGAATGAGTTTCTGTAAAGCTGTCTGCTGACCCCCGTCATACTGGGGTCACCCCACAGAACCCATTTCCCACACTGAGACCAGGGGCACATTGGGGTGGCCCTCTCCTCCTGTCTCAGCCCACGCGTGTGCCCCAGTCGACTCCTGCGTTCAGTGCCCTAGGCTGGGCCCTGGCCTTGTTCTGTCTTAGGGCTTCTGTGAGCATCTAGTGTGTTGCTGCCTGCCATCTCTCTCTCCTTCTGCAAGTAACAACGCCCAGAGAGCTTTTGGGGATGTGTTCTTCCCCCAGTCACGTGGGGCTGACCCCAAACTCCACCCCAGCTCCAGGAGTGCGTCCGTCACTCAACCCTGGAAGGTAAGAGTCAATTCTAAGACTTTCATTCACCTTGGGAAGAAGCTTTCTTTCCACACCTTGCCCAGAGACTTGATGTAAGTCTTGCCAGTAGGTGGCAAGAGGTCCCTAGATTAAAGTCAACTGAGAAAGGACAGCAGTGCCAGGACAGAGACTCTATTTCCCATGATATCATTTTAAGCCCCTGGATCCAGCAGTGTCTGAAGCCAATAACACAGAAACTGAGAACTGGGTTTAGCTTTCACACGTCACATTTGGAGGTTGGTTTTTAAAAAATACTAACCATGATGGGGCCAGGGCAGGCTGAGGAAGAAAATTACTAGTATGGATTCCTAGAAATCACGCTAGGATCCTCACTAATGTCAGCTTAGTACTCCCCGAGATACAGAAGGCCTGGTATACTCCATCCAGGCTCTCCTGGGCCCTGCTCCTGTCCGGCGCTTTGTTCAGGATGCACGGCTCTTTCTCACCTAGCCTTGTTTCTAAGGTGCTCTAAAAGGACTTTATTGGATTATAAACGGAAAACCACCCCGCCTCCGTGCCAAAGTCAAACACCTGTGAGGTCAAGAGTGGGAAGGACTGGAAAAAGTGCAGGAGGGCACACCTGGAGCCGATTATAAACCCATCCACAGAAATGCCACGCAGAGGTGTGGGGGCCGCCTGGGGAAGCCCCACTTCTGCCGGCAGAGGCACTCACCATGGGTGACACAGGGGACAGACGAAGACCCCGCTGGGCCTGGTGGTGTGCCACCCTCTCACCACCAGGGGAGTGTCCTGCTTGGCAGTAGGGGTTGGGGGAGGTGACATTTCAGGAGGCGGCCCGCAGGGTGGGTCGGGGAGGCCGTGGAGGAGTGAGTATGGTCAGAAAAGCGGGGAGGGCAAATGAGAGAGGCAGGCAGTGGCTCACTGGCTCTTCCAGAAAAGGCCAGCAGCAGGATGGGGAGGAACACGCCAGACAGTGCAGTGCTGGTGGCAGGCTCTCTGGGGAAAGCAGCCTAGATTTATAGTGCTTGTCACTATGCAAGGTGTAAATGTGCCCACATGACAGGTTTCAAGTTATCCACGTAAGCTCTGTGAAGGCAGAGATGGGAAGAGATGCGAACTGTGACCTCTCCCATCCACATACCGCTGCTGGGCACTCCCAGGACTTCTGAAGTCACCTGTCTTTGCAGTCACCTGACCCCCAGGTCTTGGCCTGGGGCTGCTGAATTGGCAAAATCTCATACTGTCACAGCCTCTGGGTATGTGTCTGGCCAGGGTCGGGGCTCTCATGGTTCCAGAAAGCATCTACTTTGCTTGTCCAAGCTCTGCGGCCGCCATCTGCACGGCGGCTGCAAACTTCCAGGCACCCCAGTCTCAGCTTTACAACTGCCACTTGACCCTGCGTCTGAAAGCCGGAGCCCCTCCTTCAGGACAGTGTGATCGTGATGACGCCCCTTCATGCATTTTGCAGTGGGATGAAAACTCA